CTCTCTTGGCCTTCTGCACAGCTGTTATCCTGAGATTTTCTTTTGCAACTTTATTTTTGGGGGTCCATGTCTTCCTCTTCTCTTGTCTCCTTCCTTTTTTTCCTGGGACACATCCTCATATGGGAGGTAAACCTCTGAGGTTCTGCATGTCTGAAAATGTTTGTTCTGCTCTCACATTTGATTAAAATTCTGTTTGGTGTAGAATTCTAGCTTCAAAGTCATTTTTTTTCTCTAACCATTGCCTTCTAGCATGCAGTATTGTGTGGATGAGAAGTTTAGTGCCAATGTAATTTTCATTAATTAGTCGGCAAATTATTCTCTCTCTCTCTATGTGTGTGTGTGTGAGTGTGTCTCTGCCTTTCTCTCTCACCACTTTTGCCTAAAATTTTCTTTATCATTGGTTGGTATTAATTTCATAAGGATGTGTAACTGGTGGTTCTTTTTCCACTTTACTGGATACTTGCTGAACTCTTTTAATTCAGTAAGAACTTAGTCAACACGTATGTTCTCTAGACTACCTTGAACCAGTCATTTGAATTCCTGTCACACAATCATTGTTTGGTTGATTTTAATTACGTGGTCCAATTTACAAGTAAAGCATTTTTCAGCTTTTGATTAAGGTTACATTACGTCTATGTTAATAGTCTATCTTTCCATCTAGAAACATGTTCAGTCATAGCCAACTATTAATGTGTACTGATGTCCATTTTATAATATCACAAGAAGGTAATATTTATGCTAACTACTTTATTTAAAAGTCACTAGATAAAGAACACTCCTCAAATGGATGTTTGGACAATGTCCGGAAAGGGAGCAATAGTAGTTCTAGCTTGTGCTCATGACTTTCAGGCTTCCAGATGGACTTTTTCCACTATATGCTAAGGTACACCTGACCCAAGCTATGGAATTTTCAGTTGCTTCATATACATACAGAAGTTGGACAATGAGTAAGGAAGACTGAAGAATAATTGATGCCTTTGAATTATGGTGTTGGCAAAGAGTATTGAATATACTGTGGGCTGTCAGAAGAGTGAACAAATCTGTCCTGGAAGAAGTACAGCCAGAATGCTCCTTAGAATTGAGGATGGTGAGACTTGGTCTCACGTACCTTGTACATGTTATCAGGAGGGACCAGTCCTTGGAGAAGGACATCGAGCTTGGTAAAGTAGAAGACCCTCAACGAGATGGGTTGACACAGTGGCTGCAACAATGGCCTCAAACATAACAACCATTGTGAGGATGGTGCAGGACGGAGCAGTGTTTTGTTCTATTGTACATGGGGTCGCTACGAGTGAGAACCCACTCAATGGCACCTAACAACAACAACCACTATGTGAAAATAACAACTTTTCATGGTCTCCCCTGGGAGAGAGGATTTCATGGACTTATTTCTGAAGCAGCATTGATTTCTCTCCTGTCTGGGAATATTTGTGTCTTGTAAGAGTGTTTTCAGAAAACAAATAATATCTACACCACAGTATAGTAGTTTTCATGTGTCTTTTTTTATCCCATCTAGATTATGGCAGGGAACGTGTCAGAACCCCCTTTGAAGTCTCCACAGGTGTCCCCACACTCTAGATGGAGAGCTCGCACTTAACAGCATTAACGACCTTGGTGTGCTGTTCTATAACTGCTCCGTGGCTATTTTTATGTTCTGGGAAGAGGAGATCTTTCTCTGAGTTCTGATTCTGCTACTTCTTAGTGGTCTGACATTGGAAAAGTTATTTAAGCATCACTGAACCTCATTTAAAAAAAGGATTCATTTTGAAAAATGTTGCACATCCTCAAAAGTAAGACTGAAAAAACAAACCAGTTGTGGTCAAGTTGGTTCCGACTCATGGTGATTCCGTGTGTGTCAGAGTAGAACAATGCTCCACAGGGTTTTCAATGGCTGTGATCTTTCAGAAGCAGATCGCCAGGCCTTTCTTTCGAGGAGCTTCTGGTTGGATTCAAACTGCCAACTTTTCAGTTAATAGCTGAGCACTTAACCTTTTGCACCACTGAGGGACTCCTTTACTCAAAAGTATAGGACAGTAAAATAAACCCCAATGTATTCATCATCTTTCTTCAATACTTATCAACATATGTCCATTCCTGATTCATTTATACACCTATCTGCCTCCTCTGCACCCTATTCTCATCTTACCATTAAATTATTTTAAAACGAATCTCGAACATCATATCATTTAATCTATAAATACTGTAGTATGTTTCTAAAACTAAGGACTCTTCTCTTCTACCAGAACCATGATGTCGTTATGATGCCTAATACCATTAATAATCCCTTAGTATAATCAGACTTCCAAACTTGCTTAAATTTCTTATTGCTCCCCTTTCTGTTTTCTTTTTTTTTTTTTTTTTACAGTTGTTTGTTTGAATGAGGATCTGAATAAGCTCCACTCATGAATTTGGTTGATTTGTCTCTTTTCTTTTAGTTTATCGGTTCCCTTTCCCTCTTTCATCTTGCCATTTATTTATTGAAGAATTAGGTCGTGTATCCTATAGAATTCTCCACATTCTAGAATTTTCTTATTGTATTGGCCCGTCGTAGTGTGACAGGTTTCTTCATTTCCTGTATAAACTGGTGGCTAGATCCTGAAGCTTGCTCGTATTCAGATGCAATTTCTTTCTGTGAAAATCCTTCACAGGAGAAGTTGCATATTTCCCTCTTACTGCATCTCTTCAGGAACCCTGTAATGTCTAATTGGCTCTCTTTCAGTGGTGTTGGAATTTTTCAGTGGGTTCAAGTGTTGTATCAGCTTTATCCATTAGTAAAGTTCTCCATCAGCCTTTCACTTAATGATGTATCCACCATTGATGATCATTGCCTAGATCCATTATTTTATTCAGAGTTGCAAAACAGTGATATTTTATTCCATCATTTATTCTGCATATATTAGCTGAAATTCTTCTGTGAAGAATAATGTTCTGTCAGCAACTGTTTGGTTACCCTGAGGAACAGACATCTGTACAAGAAGGCAAGATATTTACTAGTCTTCAGAATAATGGGTTGGTTTCTTAGAATTCTCCAAAGGTGATCAATGAGCTTTTCATTTTAGTATCATTATGAACAAATGGGAGCCCTGGTGGTGAAGTGGTTATGAGCTTGGCTGCTAACCACAAGGTCAGCAGTTCAAATCCACCAGCTTCTCCTTGGAAACCCTATAAGGCAGTTCTACTCTGTCCCATAAGGTTGCTACGAGTTGGAATCAACTTGACGGCAATGGGTTTGGTTTTTTGTTTATGAACAAATGGATTTTAATATCTTTGATGTGGCTCAATTCTTTGCAGTCATGATTCCTTTTGATGCTCAAATTGTCCCATCTTAGGCCAGGGGGAGCCTTTTCGAGCTGAATCCTGTGTAATCTTTTGTTGCAATCCAAGCAGGTGTTGCTATGTTCCTTGCTATCTGCTATAAGATGTTCCAGGCTCAATTTGTACAGTTCCTGCTGCCGTTTATCTAAGATGCCTGAGATTCTTTTAGTGGGAATGGTAAAGGAAACAATCTGGGGTCTAGGAGTGCTCATTGGTCATTTTTTCTAGTAGATAGAGCTAGGAGATATATAAATGTATATGTATATAAAGTGAACATATATACAATGAATTCATATTGGTATTTCCAACTCAAAACTGGGATTGTATGTTTTTTTACATAACTTTGATTGTATATTTGTATCTCTTTTCTCTTACACTGAAAATCTTGGTTCCTAAGAGCAAACAGTTAAGTGCTCAACTGCTAGCCGAAAGGTTGGCCGTTCAAGCCGACCCGGAAGAAATCTGCTTCTGAAAGGTCACAGCCTTGAAAACCCTATGGAGCACTTGTTCTCTGCACACATGGGGTCGCCATGAGTCAGAATTGACTTGATGGCAACTAATGGCAACAACAATACTGTTGGCATAATTACATACTTGTTTTACCCTACAATATATGCTAGTATCAAAATAATAATGATTCCAATATTGTTACTAACAATATAATTACTGAGAACAGTTTGTTGTTGATGTTATGTGCCATCCAGTCAATTCATAGAGAACAGTTAGGATTTCCCTTTATCCTACTGGTGATGTACAGTTAAACCGTTGTTGTTGGGTGGCGTCGAGTTGGCTCCAACTCATAGTGACCACATGTGAGAGTAGAGCCGCCCCATAAGGTTTTCTATGCTGTGATCTTTACGGGAGCAGATGGCCATGTCTTTCCTCCCACTGAGCGGCTGGTGGGTTCAAACCGCCAACCTTTTGGTTAGCAGCCAAGTGCTTAATGACTTCGCCACCAGGGCTCCTTACAGTTAAATTACAGTATCTTCAAGTCATTTGAAACATTTTCTTCTGTGTGATTAAGCTACCAACTTGATACACGTATTTCTTTATTTTATTTTTCTTTTGATTTTTCTGCTTAAGAATCTCAGTTTTTAAATTAAAAGAAGTGGGGGAGTAAACAGAAATGTGCTACAGATTTCTGTTAGAATTAAATGAACTGATTGATACCTGCAAAAGCACACTGAAAATCACAGGACGCAGAGAAATGTGAAGTCCTGGCTATTGCGATTATTTTTCTGTAACAAAGGCTGTTTTCTCTGCTGGAAGCGAGGGAGGGAAGAGGGAAAGAAACATAACGGTTACTGAGGGCGAATTATATGGCAGGCCCATTACACACAGAATTTCACTGAACCCACACAACAATCTTATGAGGTAAGTGTACCCTCATTTACACACGGCTGCTCAGTGTGGAAATTCTTTCTCTGCTACTTGTTAACTGTGTGGCTGTGTTTCTTCATCTCTAAAATGAGGATAACAATAGTGCCTAGCTCCCAGGGTTGTTGGGAGGGTTAATGGAGTTAGTTCATAGAAGCTTAGCCCAATGCCTGACAGAATATTCAATGAAATTCTTTGCGTACTATACCTGCCATGTAATAGCTCTCAATAACCATTATTTTTCTTTCCTTCTTCACAGCCTCACTTCCATCAGGGAAGCTGTGTGGGGAATTTGAGCCTTTAAGAAGATGACGACCAAGCAGACGGAGCCGGTCACTACCATTAGCCTTCAGAAGTTGAGTCTGACAAGCCCAGAGCCACAGCCCAAAGGTAAGCGTATCACAGATGTCTCCAACATTCATGCTGCTACTTAATTCTCCCCTATGTTTATGAGTTTTGATGACAATGAACTGACTTTCCAGCACCTTCCATTATTGCGCCTTGTTTGAGCAATTCTTCCACACACATTCCCTTCCCACCAGAAGCTGTTCCTTTCACGTTGCCTTTCCTTGTTAGAACCAAAGACCTTTACCGTGGAGGATGCTGTGGAGACCATCGGGTTCGGGCGTTTCCACATCGTCCTGTTTCTGATCATGGGCAGCACTGGGGTGAGTGTCCTTGGTGATCATTTCACATCCCAAAGCTGGCCTCGTGGTTGTATCCACACACACACACCCCCATAGCAGTCAAGTTGATTTCGACTCTTAGTGAGCGTATAGGACAGAGTAGAACTGCCCCATAGGGTTCCCAAGGAGTGGCTGGTGGATTCAAACTGCCGACCTTTTGGTTAGCAGCTGAGCTCTTAACCACTGTGACACAAGGGCTCCCACGGTTGAATACACAGTTACTCCCGACCTCCAGTCTTGGTGGTCCAAGGGAGGAGGAACGCTGTGAGACAGATAACCCAAAATTAATTTTCACCTTTGTCAGGTGATCCGTTATGAGCAATTGAATATCTGTGTCTCCATGTTCTGGGAATTCAATAGTCATTTAAAAAATAATGGTTTAAATCAAGGTATTGGGAAGAGAGAAGAAAACGATGGCATTGCTCTACGTAATATTAGACACAGCGGTTCTCAAACATACTGTGCAGAACAGTCAACGGGGTTGTTTGTTGTAATCACAGACTTCCAAATTCTTTAACAGACACTGATGAAGGTTATTATTTACTATCTGCTATTTTGAGCAAAAAAGGAGCCCTGGCAGCACAATGGTTAAGCGCTAACCGAAAGGTCAGCTGTTCGAACCCACTAGCTGCTCCACAGTAGAAAGATGTGGCAGTCTGCTTCCATAAAGATTACAGCCTTGGTGGTGGGAATGTAAAATGGTACAACCACTATGGAAAATGATATGGCGCCTCCTTAAAAAGCTAGAAATAGAAATATCAGACAATCCAGCAGTCCTACTCCTAGGAATATATCCGAGAGAAATAAGAGCTGTCACGTGAATAGACATATGCACACCCATGCTCACTGCAGCATTATTCACTATAGCAAAAAGATGGAAACAACCTAAGTGCCCATCAACAGATGAATGGATGAACAAATTACGTTACATACACACAAAGGAATACTACAACCCCAGAGCTTCCCCCGACAGTGGTGACGTACAAGTGCAAAACCACTGCAGTGAGAGTATGTGAAGAATCCACATCAAGATGCATAATGATAATGAGATAGAATAGAACATCTAGGACAAGTGGTCAACATAACAATGGTCTGAGAGTAAGGATACCTAAGAGGGAGACCAGTGAGTAAACACCAAGGAGCTCTGACTCTCCCCACTCAGCTAACCTGTGTAACGTGAGTTGCAGGCAGAGCCTGACAAGTTCTCCTGCATCTCTCAGAAGCATTGCTCTCTAGGGAAGCAGTCTAGTATAGAAAGAGAGAAAGGCAAGAGTAATCCTTGCTCAACTTTTATAAAAATCAACAACACAATGTAGAATATTCTGCGTCTATACAGTGAGGTCTCTGCTGTTGTTGTTGTTAGGTGATGTTGAGTCATTTGTGACTCATAGTGACCCTACATACAGCAGAACGAAACACTGCCCGGTCCTGCGCCATCCTCACAATAGTTGCTATGTTTGAGCCCAGTGTTGCAGCCACTGTGTCAATCCATCTCCTTAAGGGTCTTCCTCTTTTTCACTGACCCTCCACTTCACCAAGCATGATGTCCTTCTCCAGGGACTGGTCCCTCCTGGAAACATGTCCAAAGTACATGAGATTACGTCTCGCCATCCATGCTTCTAAGGAGCATTCTGGCTGTACTTCTTCTAAGACAGATTTGTTCCTTCTTCTGGTAGTCCATGGTATATTTAATATTCTTCTCCAACACCATAATTCAAACGCATCATTTCTTTGGTCATCCTTATTCATTCTCTAGCTTTCGCATGCATATGAGAAGATTGAAAATACCATGGCTTGGGTCAGGCACACCTCAGTCCTCAAGGTGACATCTTTGCTTTTTAACACTTTAAAGAGTTCTTTTGCAGCAGATTTGCCCAATGCGATAAAATATGTCATTTGATTTCTTGACTGCTGCTTCCATGGGTGTTGATTGTGGATCCAAGTAAAATGAAATTCTTGACAACTTCAATATTTTCTCCATTTATCATGAACTGCTTATTGGTCCAGTTGTGAGGGTTTTTGTTTTCTTTATGTTGAGGTGTAATCCATACTGAAGGTTGTGATTTGATCTTCATCAGTAAGTGCTTCAAGTCCTCCTCATTTTAAGCAAGCAAGTTTGTGTCATATCGCAGATTCTTAATCAGTCTTCCTCTAATCCTGATGCTGAGTTCTTCTTCATATAGTCCAGCTTCCCGGATTATTTGCTCAGCATATAGATTGAATAAGTATGGTGAAAGGATGCAACCCTGACACACACATTTCCTGATTTTAAACCATGCAGTATTCCCTTGTTTATGTGCAGGTTCCTCGTGAGCACAATTAAGTATTCTGGAATTCCCATTCCTTGAAATGTTATCCATAATTTGTTATGATCCACACAGTCAAGTGCCTTGGCATAGTCAATAAAACACAAGCAAATATCTTTTAGGTATTCTCTCTTTTCAGCCAAAATCCATCTGACATCAGCAATGATATCCCTCCTTCCAAGTCCTCTTCTGAATCTAGCTTGAATTTCTGGCAGATCCCTCAACCGTTTTGAATGATCTTCAGCAAAATTTTACTTGCATGTGATATTAATGATATTGTTCAATAATTTCACCATTCTGTTGGATCACCTTTCTCTGGAATGGGCACAAATATGGATCTCTTCTGGTTGGTTGGCCAGGTAGCTGTCTTCGAAATTTCTTGATGAATTCGAGTGAGCACTTTCAGCGTTGCATCCGTTTGTTGAAACATCTCAATTGGTATTCTGTCAATTCCTGGGGCCTTGTTTTTTGCCAATGCCTTCAGCACAGCTTGAACTTCTTCCTTCAATACTGTTGGTTCTTGATCATAGGCTACCTCCTGAAATGGTTAAATGTTGATCAATTCTTTTTAGCACAGTGACTCTGTGTATTCCTTCCATCTTCCTTTGATGCTTTCTGCATCATTCAATTTTTTGCTCGTAGAATTCTTCAATATTGCAACTTGAGGCTTGAAAATTTTCTTCAGTTCTTTCAGCTTGATAAATACTCAGTGTGTTCTTCCCTTTTATTTTTCTAACTCCAAGTCTTTGCACATTTCATTATAATATCTTACTTTGTCTTCTCCAGCCACTCTTTGAAATCTTCTATTCAGCTTTTACTTCATTTCTTCTTCTCACTTTAGCTCTCTACATTCAAGACCAAGTTTCAGAGTCTCTTCTGACATACATTTTGACCTTTTCTTCCTTTTCTGTCTTTTTAATGACCTTTTGCTTTCTTCATGTATGATGTCCTTGATGTATATGCTAGACTCCAAAAATTGTAAGATTCTGTATTTCAAAGGACAAGTAGGAGTGAATGGTTGGGATTTTACTGCCAGCTGCTCTCTACTGTCAACCAAACATTTCCACTTATATTCTGCATATTTGATCTTCTAGTATGGTTTCTTAAGAAGAAATCGTCCCTTGGCTGAAAACAAATTAGAAACCCTCTGTTTTAGGGTGTCTCTTTCTCTTGCAAACATATGTGAGCCCTGTCTTCTTGTCCATAACAATGTACCAGTGAGTGAAAAGTCAATTTAGAATTTTTTTGCTTTCCCAAATCAACCAAACTACCCATACAAAGGAAGAGTATCTCTATGAGATATTACCTGTGTTAGGAAGAGGGAGCTCTTGTACCCCTTTCCAAAAGACAATCATCAGCACTATACATTACTAGTTAGGCCTTCCGCACATGTCCATCTTCAAATCTACGTCCATGGAGGTTGTATGTCTACTGCATGATGACACTTGAAGTTGCGAAATGGCCTCAGGTTTGCTTTGAGTGTCTTAAAGGCTGTTTCAGTTCTTCCCAGACCACTGCTAGGAAGGGGCCTTTACCAGTTCTCCCCTCCCCCCATCTCTCACACGCAAAGGAGAACAATGCTATTTATTTTGGTGTGGTAGCCAAATCCCTTCCCTGGTCTTAGGGTGATGCTTTGTGAACCAGGATCTTCTCATCAGATGCGTGGACAGGGATGGGCTGCGGAGGGCTCCTGTCAGGCACTTGTAAAGAGGCAGTGGGGAGGAACTAGATGGTGTCCAGCTACCACCACAGACCATTCTGACGGGGGTCACGATAGCTGATCTCAGAATGTGAGAAAAACGTATAACAAAACTCAAATTCTTAAAAAAGTCCAGACTAACTGGACCAGTGGAGACCAGAGGACTCCCTGAGACTATCGCCCTGAGACACTCTTTAAACCTTGAACTGAAACTATCCCCGAGATCACCTTTTAACGAAGTAGCAGACTGGCACACAAAATAAAGGATAGTAGCTGTAAGAATGGTGCTCTACATAAAAACCATTCGTTATGGGATTGAAAGGTCAACATTTACCCTAAAGCAAAGATGAGATGATAAGGGGTCAGGGAAACTAGAGCATTGGAAATGGAGTAACCAGAAAGCAATTAAAGAGAATGTTGACACATTGTGGAAAATGTAACTAATGTCACTGAACAGTTTGGGTGGAAATTGTCAGATGGGAACCTAATTTGCTGTGTAATAGTTAACCAAAAATACAATAAAATATTATTTAAAAAAAAGAACAGAGAGGCAGTGGGAACAGTAGGCATGTTTCAGGGCCTCACGTGACTAGGATGTATGTAACAGCATCCCTGTCAGTCCCTCAGCCTAGTCTGTGGCCAGGACTTTTAGATGGTCTTCTAAGACCTTTTTCTGGAGTGCTGTAATCTTTATGGAAGCAGATCACCAGGCCTTTCTTCCACATCTTCACCAGGTGGGTTTGAACCATCAACCTTTAGGTTAGTAGACAATCTCTTAACCATTTGCTCCACCTAGGGACCTGGGTACACAGTAGGTGCTTCATAAAGGAGAGTAGGGAGGACGAGGGACAGGGAGATGGGGGAAGAAATGGTAGCAAACCAGCCCTGAGACACGACATTTTTCTCTTCTCTAAGGTTGCTGAGGCCATGGAGATCATGCTAATAGCTGTGGTGTCCCCTGTTATCCGCTGCGAATGGCAACTGGAGAACTGGCAGGTGGCGTTGGTGACCACGGTGAGTGCCTGCTGCCTGCGCCATGAGGGAGCCAGCTGAGGCTGGGGACTTCCGATCCCCTCTCTCATCTCACAGGGCAGAGATCCCAGGGTACCTCCCCATCTGGTGGGCTGGCTTCCACTGCTCATGGGTTTGCAGGCTGAAATTAGCCTTCGAGGCTCTCTCCCCTTTCCCCTTCCCTGAGGTAAGGAGTAACCCTGGACTGCTTACTCTCCAGCCCCTACCAAAAGCCCCTTGGAGAGAAATGTAAACAAGAACATGACTCTAAACCATAGGTTCTAGCCATGAGTTAAGTGAGTTCACTAAGAGGCCACCTAGTGGGACCCTTGTGACTTAACCAACCACCAAACCACTCTCACTGAATTGCACTGTTATGTGTTTGACTTTTCTCAAAGGCCACTAAAAGCAGCCTTCTGAATTGCCCATGAAGTTTTTCTCTAAAGTGGAATTAAGGATATTATCTGCTGTTCTTTCAGAAGCATTTAAGAGCCAATTCTTTGCCAGCGCTGTGTGTGTGCACGTGTGTTAGGAGGGGGCCACAAGCACTTGCCTGCTGCTTAAATGGAAAGTGAGAAGAGGGTTGGAGACACAGGGGCCAGAGCACCTCACAGTCCATGCATGGACCCCATTTTGTGGGCCACTGCTCCCCAACATGGGGCGAGAATCCACACACCCTCCCAGCATCACCCACAGACTTGATAAAAAAATATTTGGCACACATATGTATTACTGTTTTTTTTCAAATATCTTTTCCTAAATTTTATTTATTTTGTTGTTGTTATTGAGAATATACACAGCAAAACATACACCAATTCAGCAGTTTCTACAGGTACAATTAAGTGGCATTGATTACATTCTTTGAGTTGTGCAACCACTCCTATCCTTCTTTTCTGAGTTGTTCTTCCTTCATCAACATAAACTTACTGCACCCTTAGGTTCCTATGTAATCTTTTGAGTTGCTGCTGTCACTTGGATCCCATATAGATAGTTCTTAAAAGAGCATAATGCTTAAGGCAGACCTTTTTCACTAGTTAAACTAAATTATTTGGTTGTAAGATGACTTCAGGGGATACTTTTGGTTTAAGGCTTGAAGATTATCTCAGGGCAATAGTTTCAGGGGTTTATCCACCCTCCATGGCTCCAGAAAGTTTAAACCATGAGAATCTGAAATTCTGTTCTGCATTTTCCCCTTTTTGATCAGGATTCTTCTATGGAATCTTTGATTAAAATGTTCAGTAATGGTAGCTGGGCACCATCCCGTTCTTCGGGACTCATGGCAAAGGAGGCCATTGTGCATGGAGTCAATTAGCCACACATTCCATATCCTTCTCCTATTCCTGACTCTCCTTTTTTGCATTACTGTTTTTCAAATTATCATTTTGTTTAACAAACAGCAATTTTATGTGAAAGCATTATTGACTTCATGTTATTGTTAGGTGCCATCGAGTCGGTTCCAACTCATAACGACTCTATGCACAACAGAACGAAACACTGCCCGGTCCTGCGCCATCCTCACAATCTGTGTTATGCTTGAGCCCATTGTTGCAGCCACAGTGTCAATCCATCTCATTGAGGGTCTTCCTCTTTTTCACTGAACCTGTACTTTACCAAGCATGATGTCTTTCTCCAGGGACTGATCCCTCCTGATAATATGTCCAAAGTATGTAAGATGTAGTCTCCCCATCTTTGCTTCTAAGGAGCATTCTGGTTGTACTTCTTCCAAGACAGATTTGTTCATTCTTTTGGCAG